TATGTATGGACTAAAAGAACATGTGTCACTGTGAACTTTTCAAGTCGGTAACACACAGATTTGGTTTTATGACGAGAGTGTGTCATGGCTTGACTCAAGGTCATTTGGAATGTTCAAGGTCACGTACATTCCTTTACAGTTTTTCCTAGCGAAATATTGTAAGTTGCTTCCCTTACAAGATTGCTTACATGTATAACTTTAGAATGTGGCATGACATGGACTCAAGGTCACTTCTTCCTTCCGCAGCTCCAACGGAAGACCTATTCTTTGCTTTGCAACGAGCTCGCTCTAGTTCACTTACTAGTTTAAAATCGGAACACTATAGTTAATATTAATTATAGAACAGATAGTGTTTTTAATCACTTTTTATCTCACCTGAGCCGAAGGCTCAAGTGAGCTCTTCTGATCACTTTTTGTCCGGCGTCTCTCTATCCGTCTGTCTACTTTTCACATTTACGACTTCTTCTCAAGAACCATTGGGCAAATTTCAACCAAACCTCCCACAAAGCGTCCTTTGGTAAAGGGGATTTAAGTTTGTCCAAATGAAGGGCCACGCTTTCTTCAAAGAAGAGATTATTACAAATCAGTGAAAAATTATGGGCATCTTTAAAAAAATCTTCTTAAAAACCACTAGACCAAAAATTGTGAAGTTATGTGGAAGCATCCTAAGATAATGTAGATTCAAATCTGTTCAAAACATGACCCCCGGGACTAGGGTGGGGCCACAATGGGCGATCAAAGTTTTACATAGGAATACATAGGGGAAATTTTTAATAAATCTTCTCAAGGGCAGTAAAGTCTTGATTGATCATATTTATATGGAAGCATCCTCAGGTATAGTATATTCAAATTTATTCAAATCATGACCCCCGAGAAAGGTTTGGGCCACAATAAGCGATTAAATTTTTACAATTGAAAACATAAGAAAAATAATTAAAATTTTTCTGTTCAATAAGGGCAAAGCCATGATTGATCATATTTATATGGAAGCATCATTAGATAGAGTAAATTAAAGTTTCTTCAAATCATGACCTATGGGTGTAGTGAGGGGCCACAATGGGCAATTAAACTTTTGCAATGGAAAACTTAAGAAGAATGATTAAAAATCTTCTTTTCAAAAACAGGAGAGCCATGAATGGTAAGTAAATACAAATCACGTGCACGATTAGAAGGTAGCTTGATCATGTTGCCTCGGTATTATGGTCTGCAGGCATCTGCAGACACAACCTATCCCTAAACACTAATATCATACCTGACAATGTTTTGGACTGCCGAAATGAAACAGATATTAAAGACATAAAAAAGTGATTATCGACATGGTAACGTTGTAGAATTTTCATTGACCATGGTTATTGAATATCATACTTGTTCCGTCAATTAAATGTTTAACCTACAGATAGATTATATTTCCTTTGAATTATGTTAACCTAGCAACTTTTGAGACACATCTCATTTATTTAGTTAAGTTTAAGTTTTAATCTCATTTCCGAGTGTTAAATATCTATACACGCACATAATAATAAGTATCCCCTTGAGTACTACATGTATACTTTGTTTCACCTTATGTTTGTATTACTACTACATGTAATACGATTAAATGTAGTGGGACATCGGATTTCTCGAGAATGCCCCAATGGATTTCTATGAAACTTTCAGGAATGGTAGTAAATTAATTAAAATTGAATCCTTTTGTGTGAATTTGTCATTCTTACTTCCAGTCGCATGTGACGATCGATTTTCTGTTGTTTTTTTTTTAATTTACTTTTTTTGTCCACGCGTTTTCTAAAAAACGATTAAAGATTTGATCATGAAAGTTACTGGGATGATAGATCTTGACTTGTAGATGTGACACATAGGTTTCCTTTAAAGGAGGAATATCACACCAAAATTTTATTTAATAGATCTTTAAGAAATCCCTTTAAAACTATGATTTTAGCATTGAAAGACTGATATATTTAGCTGTTAATTGTTTTATGCGAATTTTTTGCATTTTTTCAGAGAAAATTAAAAAAAAAATGTTTTATTTGCAAATAAGATGCTTTATGTTTAAAATTTACTAAAAATAAATGCATAATATGTCTAATAAAATATGTTAATAAAGTCTGGAAAGACATTAAAATTTTTAAGATAAAAAATTATTTATGAAAATAAAACACATAATTTGTGAATATTTTGTAAACCTATGGTTAAAATATTTATAAAACTAGTAAAAACTAGGGAGAGTATGTTAAAGTCAGTCATATTTTAAAAAGAAATTGAAATAAAATTGAGAAATATTAGGGAAAAAATTTATTTTAATATTTGGACCAATCCCGATCAAATTAAACTGATCGCGATCAAAATTAACACAAAATAAATAATATAATAATTTACTGCCTTCTTTATGTATTACCACTAAGAAATTTATTTGATTATCATGCAAGTTCAATTACTTTTTAACCTGTATTACACCTAAACAAAGTAGTATTCTTGTGAAAATGTTATCTATTTCCACTTATTCCAAAACTCTTGTTGGAATCAGTTTAATTTCGATCGGGATTGGCCAAAATTTAAAAAAATAATTTCTCTAAAATTTGAAGGGTTGTCCCTAAGATTTGAAATAGCAGCGGACATTAAAAAAAGTAGAAGGGGGTCTGAGGTTCCTCTCATAAAAGGGAGTTGAGTGAGCATACAAGAATAACCAGGGGATTGTATCATAATAGGCGGGGAAATTCTCCGGCCTCCGGGTTTTAGGGACAACCCTGAAATTTATTTCGCAATTTCATTTCAATTTCTTTTTAAAATATTATTGCTAACATATTCTCCCTAGTTGTGACTATGGAGATTGTAACCATAGGTTTAAAAAATATTAACAAATTCTGTGTTTTATTTTCATAAAAAATTTTTATTAAAAAAATTAAAATGTCTATCCAGCCTTTATTAACATGTTTAATTAGACACTCTTTTTTTATTTATTAATAGCAAATTTTTAACCCTAAAGCATCTTAAAAATAAAAAAAAAATTTTTTTTCATTTTCTATGAAAAAAAAGGGGGGGGGGGATTATGAAATAATTAAGAGCTAATTTTGGCCTTTAGTGCTGAAACAACTACTTATCATGGATGTCTTAAAGGTCTATGAAATAAAATTTTGGTGTGGCATTCCCCCTTAATTAATCCGCCGCTACTTCCTGTGTCCAAAGGAAGTACTTTAAAAATATGCATTATATATATATATATATATATATATATATATATATATATATATATATATATATATATATATATATATATATATATATTTTTTTTTTTCATTTTCAAAAAAAATGTAAAAGCTGATGTCAACATCTAAAAGAGTGTTTCAAGTCGTACCATTTCCACCGGAAGTAGAAACTCTGAAACTTGCAGTTGTCAAAAAAATGAGTTTTTTTTTCATGAAATCTTTCAGGATTGATTCCTATACGCTCTATCTGATATTATCAGTTGTTTTGAGTACTTCCGGTCTTACCTGAAATTATTGAAATAGAACTAGAATTGATAAATTCAATCTCCTGTGTTTATAAATATATTTTAGAGATTTTGCGTCTCTTCTTTTCTACTTAATTCGTTCTTTATCAATCAAGCTATTACCGTAAAGATCTTATTTTATTTCATCAGAATTCAAACGGAAGACCTTCTCGTTTAGTCATTTGTTTTTTCTTAACGATTTTGTGCACGCGAGTTCGCGGAAACGTTTCGCTCGATTTTCATTAAACTTTCAGGTTAGAAAGGACATTGAATATATCTCGAGAGAGAGAGAGAGAGAGAGAGAGAGAGAGAGAGATAACGTGAAATTTTCGAAGATAGAGCAACATATATGTAGATGTGTAGTACTAGTTCACTTCAACCGGAACTGCCAAATGTTGACACTCGCTATGGCTCGAAAAAAGGCATGTTGAGAATTTAAAAATTTTTGAAACGTTTTCTTCATAACTGAATATTTCATTAAGGCACCATAAAATTTCAAATCGATAAAAATGGGTAGCAACTGTTCCTTTGCCATGCGCTCGGCACTTTAAAGTAAAAGTTGCGGGTACTTCGGATGAAACCTTAAAACACTGAGGCCCCGTGTCACGGCAGGCGTTGGCACGATAAAGATCCCTCACTGCTCAATGGTCCTGAGTGCCGAGTAAAGGTCAAAATTTGAAGCCCTTCACCGTTATATGGTGACGTCTCTATATGAGTGAAAAATTCTCGAATGGGACGTTAAACAACAATCAATCAATCATTAAACTTGGTGCATCTTGGGTCCTCAGAGAATGACAAGTGATAAGTAGGTCACCATGACCTACTCTCAGGTAATAATTAGCTTAGAATCATCTTTGGGTCTCAGAGTGTTGCATCTAAAATGTAGGTCATGATGACCTACCTTTGAAATTTCAAGGCTTTATTCAAATATACAGGATAATTAGAAGCTTCAAGTTAAAGTGATAGGTTGTACAGTTTATCAGAAGAGCGATTTAAGGCCCTTGGGCTTATTGTCATAATTAAAATTGGTTCAAGTCTTGTTTTCCAACGGTCCGATAGTCCGACGGTCCGATAGTAAGGCGTGCTTACCATCACCAAAAATTTTAACAGAGTTCAAATCTATGCTTGTCAGACATTATTTCAAAGAAATTTCCAGAAACCGCCAAAATTGGCACGGCCTGATTATAAATCAGACCATCAATTTTTGACAAAAAATCATTCAAGCGTGAACTGAAAATCAGAGAAACCCGGTATTTTTATGAAAATTAAAACTGCTTACTGATGAAGTACAGGCAAATTGTGTATTACATGACGTTGATATTAACCACTTCATAATCTTTAACTCGGTAATGGAGACAAGCGTTTTTGTGTAACAAAAACAATACCCACTAGTTACACTTACTGCCTAGATTACTTTAATTTGATAAACAAGAATATGACGTGTCTTTGTCCAGCTCTAACTTGAAAGGTTTTTGTATTTCAAAAGAATTGAAATCCAAAATTTTCACAATTGCAGGAAAACCAAACCCTCCGTACAACATATCTATCTATTGTAAGGTTTATAGTGGAACTGCAGTAGTAAACTGGTCACCAGGTTTTGATGGAGGAACAGAACAGACATTTATTGTGTCATACAGAACCAGTGATGACGATGAAAAATTAACTGAAAACTTCAGACAACCGAATGCTACAATTACTGGCTTGAAAGATGACACTCTTTACTACTTCAAAGTCATTGCAAACAACTCAAATGGTAAAACTCTTTCAGAAGAAGAGGAGTCTTGTAAAACACAAGGTACTTAATTGATTTCTCATCCATCATTCGTAATAGTGTACCTGAGGAATAAGCTTGATTGATTTATTGATAGATTATGTCTTTTACTTCTTTGCAAGAATTTTTCTCTCCCATTCAATAAATTTAGACCTATACTCGGCACTCAGGGCCATTGAGCATTGAGATTTCTGTAACATGCCAATGTCTATTGTGACCTACGATTTTTGAAATTATATCTGAAAGAACCTTACTTTCAATTCTAATGCCGGACACTTGCAAAGGAACAGATACTACTTACAAAATGAGATTTGACCCTGCACCGGGTACGAGAATCGAACCCGGTGTTGTATCTATTATAATTACAATGGAAGAGTAAGGATGTCTTGCTGATATAACTGATGACGCATATGGAGAAATGCTGTACACTTCATTCATGAGTTTATGATAACGTGACCGTTTCTAATTGATATTCATTATAATTATTTATTGATTAAAATCCCAATCAAGTGTAATATTTCCCCTAAAGATTTATTTTTTTGTATCTGAAAGTCAACTCACAATCTACAACTTACTTTTTGTTACATGTGAAAAAAAACTCTGTCCAAAAATTACAAATATTTTTAAATAGACTTGGTTAATGCAAATATTTCTATATCAATGTAATGAAGCTTCACTTAAGATTTTCAAACGCAGAAAGTGCATTTTTTAACTGTACCCTTTATGCTGTACTCAAAATCGAAAACTGTTCAAAAGTTCATTGAGAAATGGAAAAGTTACTTGAGAAAAACTGTTTTCAATATTAGCCCCTTGAAATCCCTTATTTTTCCGAATTTCATTTTCAGACCCTAATGGGGTTGAAACAATATCAACGTCATTATATCGCTCAATTTTCAGAAGAATATCTTATTTAGTTTAGGAGATATCGCGACATGTGCATTTTTCCATTCAACATGGGAACTCCCACAGACAAATACAGAGATTCATAAAACCGGAAATACTTGTCATATCCATACCAAACTTGAAACCTAAAGAGTATATAAGCTTTCCAACAGATGTGCAAAGGGAGATAACGCTTACTTAATCATTTTTGAAATTAATAAAAATTCCATTATTTCAGTCCTCCGTAACTCCTATAAGGGGTTAAAAAGTTACCCCACGGACCATAATTTTTAGATCATACTCTTTAAGCTTAACGAAGAATAGAAAACTGTTTAAAAATTCATAGAGAAATAAAAAAGTTATGGGCAAAGGTCAGTTTTCAACTTTGGCCCTTGGAAATCCCTTATTTTCCAAATTTTCATTTTTAAAGCCTAATGGGTTTGAAACAATATCACAGTCATTATATCACTCAATTTTCACAAGAATACCTTGTTTACTTTGAGAGATATCGTGACATATGCAATTTTCCATTTAACATGGGAACTCCCATAGACAAATTCAGAGATTCATAAAACCGGAAGTACTTGTCATATGCATACCAAACTTGAAACCTAAAGAGTATGAAAGCTTTTCAACAGATGTACAAAGGGTGATAGCTCTTCCTTCATTATTTTTGAAATAAATAAAAATTACGTTATTTCAGTCCTCTCTTACTCCTATAAGGGGTCAAAAAGTGACCCCACGGACCATAATTTTTAGATTGCGCTCTTTCATCTGAACCCAGAATAGAAAACGGTTTAAAAATTCATTGAGAAATGAAAACGTTACAGGAAAAAGTCTGTTTTCAATGTTGGCCCCTAGAAATCCCTTATTTTCCTGAATTTCTTTTTCATGGCCTAATGAGGTCGGAACCGTATCAAGATCATTCTACACTTAAAATCTCACAAGAATATCTTGATTTTTTTTAAGAGAAAACGTGCTACGACTGATTTCAATTTAACAAAGAAACTCCCATAGACAATTTTCAAAGACCCCTAAGACCGGAAGTTCCGCTTGGATCGATATGAAACTTGCAGTATATGTTCTACTTATTAGTCTCAACGTATTTCAATGATGAAAATAATTTTTGAACCTTAATTGTGACTTTTAAAAATTTTTATCCCCCCCCCCCCTTTTTCAATATTTGAAGTATTATATCTCAGAAAGTATCAGTGGTCCAAAATCACCCTCGCTAACTTTTTTGCAGGTATTGGTCTCTAGAATTTATATCTTGAATTTGATTGCTAGGCATTCAAAATGAGAAAGATTTTAGCTTCTTTAGGTATTTCAGTTTTTCTTTAGTAGAAACCGGAAGTGACTAAACCGGAAGTTCAGTACCTTACATACGCGAGATATTTACATTGCTATTTAGTGGTTATAAGAGAAAAAATCATATTTCTAAAGGTACTCCTTAAATGCTGAACGAAAAAAGTGTTCAGTATAATAATAATAACTAGACCTTTTTTGTCGTTCAACAAAAACGGAGGGCTTTTCGACGCAAGACGTAAAGGAAGTGATTGATAAAGTGCTTAAACTCATGAAACTGGGAAGACTTTTTAGATGATTACCAAAATAGAAACATAAAGAATCTGCATGTCTATCGTGAGCTGTGGGAAGGGATACAACAATAATTGATTTTTTTTCTTCAATAAATTAAATGTACATCATTTCAGTCTTTTAAAACTCTTGAATAGGACGGAAGTGGCCCCCTAGACTATAATTTTGAAATTATATATTATGCTTAACTCAAGACTAGAACAATTTAAAGATTACTTCCTAAATAATAATGAAAAAAAAAAACGTTACAAGGACAGGGGTGTGTGTGTTTTTTAGAAGCCCCGCAAATCCTTTATTTTCCTGAATTTTATTTAATAAACAAGTCGGCTCAATGGCATGATAATTCTTTGCCAATACTTTGTTTACATTTATTGAAATCGTGACACACTTAATCTCTCAAGGGGAAGTAAAAAAGCGACAGTAAGTATCCATTCTTTCATTTTCACATTTCCTTTGTATAAGATTTTTATTTTAACTAAGAAAACTCCCTTTTTTGTTTCTTTTTCTTATTTATGATTATTAAGATCTTTCAGATTTTAACACAACCAGGAGATTATATGTCTATAATTAACATTTTAATATAAGCTGAGAAAATATTAATTTCTATGTAAACCGAAAGAAATGCAAACTTTTTTTTTTTAATTCCACATGGAGTCTCATATATATATTATTTTGTTAAATACTTGATCATTTATTCACAAAAAAAATTACTGTGAAATGAACGTATATGACTTTTATTTTTTATTTGCTTCGTAATAGTCAGTGAATAGAGTTAAGGGGGAAGAAAATATAAACAATTCCTTTAAATTAAGTTTCCATGAAAAATAATTTCATTTCGTTAATTATAACTAAATGTAAAGAAAAATAAACACATTCAGATTTTTGGGGAGGATATTATGATTTTTTTTTTCCACAAACAACCATTTCGACCCCTCCAAGGGTCTCATCAGGCGGTGGTGATGGATTATTACTCTGTAATTTAAAGAGTAATAGTCGATCACAGGTTTCCCCGCAATAGTTATTTAAATTTATGAAACGTTGGTGTATTTTTAATATGGATATTTATTATAGCGGTTGAATACACAATTTTCAAAGTGACACACTATCTCTGACACATTCCCACGCAAAAACAATCGTTAATTAATTTTATTTATTTTTTATTCTGTAGCAGAAATTTATATTACTTCAACTTTGATCGCTTCATGGTAACTGTAATATGGGGAGGATATTATGATTTTTTTTCCCACAAACAACTATTTCGACCCCTCCACGGGTCTCATCAGGCGGTGGTGACGGAATATTACTCTGTAATTTACAGAGTAATAGTCGATCACAGATTTCCCCGTAACAGAAATTTATATTACTTCAACTTTGAGTGTTTCATGGTAACTGTAATATGTTGGAATCATGGTCACTCGCACAATCTACTTCTCTGCTATAAACATGATCTATCATGATCAATCAGACATTTCCAAATGGTGTAAAATCCCCAGTCTGTTTGATTTGCCTTAGGCGACCGTGAATATATGTCAACAATTTTTTAACAACCATGGAGATTTCGTCAATAATGAGCAATTTTAACTGTCCAAGTTTTGTTCTCAAGGAATTTAATTTATCATCACCAAGTGGTTGATATTCAAAGGGCAAAGCGCTATTTCCAGGGATAGCAAATGTTCTGTGAATAGTTGCTCCTCCTATATTGAATGCTGCCACACCTGTCGGTGCTGTTAATAATACTGAGACATCATCAGGGTTTGTCATAAGTGGAGCAAAAAGTCTAGACAATTCGTAGTAAATACTTTTAATAAGATTTCATGTAAATCCATCCAATGGTCTTTGAGAAATCGCGTGCACAAAATTAGAAAGTAAAAAAAAAAAATAATAATAATAATAATAATAAAAAACAGAAGAATCACTGTAAGGTCTTCCGTGAAAACGAAAGACCCTAATAAACTAGACCTTTTTTTGTCGTTCAACAAAAACGGAGGGCTTTTCAACCCCTTAAAAAGTTGGGAGCTTAAAGAGAACCCCTTAAAAAGTTGGGAGCTTAAAGAGAGATCAGTCTTACTTATGAAAAATTCATAGGGTTCATAAACCAAAAAGTCTTTGAGATCCCTACTGAACTGGAAACTTAACCAGTATAAATGTAATTCAAGGGCTATTCAAAGAAACATAACTCTGTCATGACTATTTACAAATTAACAGAAAATACTGTACTTCAATCTACTTAAACTCCTACAAGGGGTCAAAAAGAGACCCCACGGACCATAATTTTCAAGTTGTACTCTTAATGCTGAACCCAAAACCGAAAATGGTTTAAAAATTGGTTAAGAAATAAAAAAAGTTACAGGGAAAAGTCTGTTTTCAGGTTTGGTCCCTTAAAGCAATATAAGCTGTCAGCGGCGGCAATTTTTTAACCCAATTTTTTTAGGCTAATTAACAATAATGTGTTAGAAATAGATAATCTGCAAGTATCAGTAAACTACAGCTGTTGCGTATACACAAATATATTAATTAAATCGATCGTTTGTTTGAACTGACCATCT